AAAAAAAAGAAGTGCTAAGCTTCTTTCATACAACGCTATGTCGCCAATAATGTCGTTGCCGCAAGTGAGATGGGTCTTCTTGATATGCACATATGCCGGGTATTGAAAGTCGAAAACTGGGGGAAGCTGAAACTCTTACAAAGCTAGATTGCAGCTTCTCACTCTAAAAGATCGAGGACTGTTTTTCGGAAATAGTTGACAGCAAGATCAAAGAATTTCTGACCATGGTCTTCTTACTGAGTGCACATTCTAAGAAAACAAATTTTTGGTAAAAACGAACAAAATTCAAAAAAACACGATGAGATGCATGCTAAGACCTAGGACCTAAGAGCAGTACCTCCTTAGATTATCTGGAGCAGTGCGTGCCAGTCCCGTGCTAGCGCAGTGCCAGAAACAAGTGTACGCGCCTCGTATTGATCGACCAATGTTCAGGCACGGCGTTAGCACGGCACTGGAACGGAGCTGGGACAACGCTGCGGATGCGGACAATCCGAATGCATTCTTATCAATAAAACATAGCATCAATCGTTTATACCTTTGGCAAAGAATCGAAAAATCGAGAAATTGCTCATTGGGAGAGCACTAACTTCATCTGCACTAGGCTGCGTTTCGTAAGTTTGAATCAACATTGGTAACTTATCCGGTTCCCATAACATGAAATTCGAGACATGCAGACAGCTGTAACAAGACTCTAGATCGTCACTTATCGTGTAGAACATCATGAGAAGCTTGCATGTCGGATATTCGTTGTTGGTGTGAAGAGAATGACAGGCAAAGGGTTAGATTAGTTGAACTAGTTTCGGAGAAATTTTTGAGCAGTAAGTATAGTGCATGAAAGTTGGGAGTGAGTATGACCTTCTAGAGAAAAAAACTGAAAATTCAATCCCAGTGAGACGGATAGAAGAATGGGAAAGAATGGAAAGCATGAAAAACATATCAAAGAAATCGCGATGGAAGCAACCTTTCTTCACATTATTTTAATCAAACTGATGCATAAATACATGTGAGAAGATGCCTCTTTGCTTATCCGGAAGTCAAGAATCTTGTGCAAGGGATTTTTCTCAGTTGAAAAACTCAGAACTTACATTACCAGAGGGATAGCTTTATATGTTTTTTAGTCTTTCATAAGAAAAATTTTTCGACAGATTACTTTGCTGACCTTCTATTGATCCAACAGCAAAACCACATGGCATCGAATTTGTCTTGTCCTTGAAAATCGACACACATCGATGCTATAAATACGTAGGGATGACTCTTATCGCACTTACTACTCTTTGGCCATAGCACAAGCCACGCGCCAAGTGTTTCCTCTTTGATGAAGATCATTGAAGGCTAGAGATGCAATGCAAGCGCGCAAATTAAGTTACCGAAGACGAAAGTCGCATAGTGAGAGTGAAAGCATGATATTTCACTAGGGACTAGCATCTGTTTGGAACAACTTATCAAGAATATGGATTTTACCTGAAACTTCAACTGGCTTTCGATATTCTTCACTTCTTGCGGCCCATTCTCAAGATTGTACACTTTTATGTGACGGTTAGCCAGACCCACTGCTGCCATAGGATATAGCACATCCGCACAAAATACTCGTTCGGGAAGCTAAAAAGTCATCATAGCATAAACTAACACTTATAAGTACACTTATATAAACCGGTAGAACTGCTGCAGATATAAAACCATAAACATCAAAAATGAGGAGAAATCTAAGCTAGTGGAAGAGGTTAAAAGTAAAGGGTCCAAAGGTCCGAAACACTACGAAGAGGCATAGATAACCGCTCAGAGCTTCAAAAGCAAGAAAAGGAAAGTAAGAAAGGAAAAACGGCAGCAATCAATCATAGTGAGACCGGTGAGAATAACCTGACATGCTTTTACATAGCCAGATCAACACCATTCACTTTGAGAGATGGGGTAAATCGTACATACCGAGATATTTGCTAGTGATGTCTGTGTAGGTAACTGTCGCATATCCCAAAACCGTAACGTCTTATCCCATGATCCAGTCATTAAGCATGAATAATTATTGCCTGAAATCCCAACGTTTACAGGAATCTTTTACATGGATCTTGATCGCTAGAAATAATGGAAAGTAATATATACCGCAGTGCAGAGCTATCTAATTTAAATGATGCACCTTTGATCCAATGGCATGTCTTCACTGGTCCATCATGAGTGCCAACAACGGCCATTTGATTTGAAGCCAAGTCCCATAACCGCACTTCTTTGTCACCAGCTGATATGAAGATTTTCGTACCGTCCTATAAGATAATAGTATCTAGATGATATAAGGAAGATGGAGACAAGTGAAAGAAAAAGCTCGAAGATAAGATTACTCATCAAATCTACAGAAATCTTCTGTTTAGAGCAAAGAGGTTGAGTGCGATCAAGTAAAAACATCTAAAAGTGTACGCAATCAACTCACATCTGTCCAGGAAAGGTCAAGTATAGGTGCTGGAATATTCTGTTGCGCTTTGCCTTCGCATTGTCCATTATCATTGACCATCCACACCCGTACTACCTACAAATCCCAATGATATCAAAAAAATCAGAATCGGTAGATAACACTCACACCATCCCAACTTCCTGCAGTCAGCAATGGTTTTTCATTTACATTAGGACTGAATCGCAATACTTGAACAGTATCATCTGGCGAGCCTTCGACCTATAAATTCGAAAATCATGATTTGCGACAAACTGCTAATTTTGGGTGTCACTTACAGCGATATCTTCTGAGTTTGGATTCGTGGCTGTTGTAGTCGTAGTGCTGCCAAATAATGATGGCTTAGCTCCAAATGTGGAGCTAGAACTGAACATCTAAAAAGATCTATTCCTTTGCTACAAGTCCAGGACGAGGAATGATATTAGAATGAGTCAAATAGACACTAGCAAGAAGACGAACGTATTACTGGTGGATAGATTCCCCGCTGTAGGGATAGACTATGAGCAAATGATGGAAGAAAGCGCTGAGTCTTGGCGTGATCTACTGACACTACGCTTAGCACAAGCCTCAAAGGCACAAAGAAAAAGGTTCCAGCACGATCCAAAGCCAGAAATTTCCCATTGTTAGCAAGTACACTTCTACTGTGAAATATGAGCACCTACTAGGGTGAAGAGGATGTACTTTGAAAAGTTGTAATAAAGAACATTATGGAGAGAAATTTGTGAAAAAAAA